TACTCAAGCCTCATACTACCTGTTTATAAAACTTCACCACACTTTTACCCTATAATAAAAATAAATTCACAGATTTATTTTTTTACGTTTTTTTTAAACCATCACCTTCAGGATAAATTGTTAATATCGCAAAACATGGTTCTGGAAGTTAGCCAAGGAAGGGTTTGCCAGACTGAAAGTTTTTCTTTTGACAGTTTTCCTTGTATTGAAGATAAGAAGAAGTGTAGGGGGTTTTGTTGACTTGCACATGTCAAGTATAGATTGATGCCCACCTACAGAGATAATTAGAGTTTGAATAGGATTTGACTACCTTGTACTGGGCTGAGTTAGATGTTCAGGGTGGACCTTTGGCAGATGATCAAGAGAGATATCAATGAAAGATGTTTGTACCACCCCAATGCAAAGTGCTTTATAGACATGTCTCATCTGATCCTCCAAAAAACCCTCCTGAGAATAAGTGTTAATTGCTCTTGTCCCTATTTTACAGAAGAAGAGACTGAGGTTCAAAAAAGGCCACAGAACTCATGCATAAACAGTTGCAGCCAAGCTTTGAATTAGCCGTCTGCTCTGTTTCACTCAGAAGCACTCTTAACCTGGACGGTGATACTGTGTCCACAGTCAAAAAGCCTCAGACATCAGCAGTGGCTTTCCTGATTTCAGCAAGTTAGGGGAAGTTCAATAAACCAATGCATCCTGAACCTCACCATCCTTTGGGAACTGTGCATTTGTATGCTTTATTTAAGAAATGTGAGGAGAGCACGTGATACAAGAAGAGCACAGTTTTAGGTTCTATTGGGAGAGATCTAAAGAGAAATAGGATCTCTGCCCCCAACAGATAGACAACCTAGTTGGAGAGACAGGCTCATATGCAAAAAATTAGAAGGAAAAGTGTCTAGGTTTCAAGCTGGAATGCTGGCAGTCAAATAAATGAAGTGTCTACTTTTTACATCTGACTCCCTTGGTTGTGGTCGATGTTTTGATCCCCCATATATCTGACAGCAGAAAAGTAACATTGATGAAGGGGTCTTTTTAAAATACTGGACTGGACATTACAGAATATCTCTTGTTGCACGACTAATGCCTATTTAAAAGCTCTGTAAGTAGTGTTGAACTTGTTTTAACAAACCTGTAGAAAATACCAAGTTCTCTAAATGCCTGCTTCATGTCCCGTGGGTTGTCCTTCATTCTTCTTTGTGGCATTTCCCTTTATTGATTGCTTAGTGTGTGTCATTATCTCGTTACCCCTTCACCACCACCTTATGGGTACAATTATCATCCCTCTTTACAGCTGAAGCTCAGAAAGGGGAAGCAACTTGCTCAAAGTCACACAGCTGTTAGGTGGCAGATCTCGGATCCAAATTTACACCCCTGACTGCAATGCCCATATTCTTAACTTCCGTGCACTACTGAAAATAATTCTTTCATGGGTGTGATACAATCCAGTATTCGTACACACTCCCTTGACAGGTATTAGACAACTTTACCAAGAAACTACTCTTTGTATTGTACTGTTTGTAAAGCCTTAATTTTCAGATCTTCACAAACAAGTCAAACCAATGCCAAAAAAAATGCTAGCTCTTTGATCGAAAAAAAATAAATACGTTTATCGTTTTTCCCATCAGCTAACACTTAAATGTTTGTTCTCATTGATTTCTCTACCTCTGTTTTTCATTCTAATATAATGAACTCCGCATAGATGTTTTTACTGACTTTCTGTTTTATATGTCAGAATTTTGAGGTCTCAAATGTGTGAAGTCATTTTCCTGCTGCTCCCACCTCAGGGATTCGTGGGGAAAAGGTTGAGTATACCAAAGGCCTCAAAAGTGAAGCTGAGAAAGGCAATATTGGAAAGAGAAATCTGTGTCCTTATGTACTTCTCAAGAAAGGAGATTGGGAGCTCAAAAATACTAGTTCTTATTCATAGATTCTTTGAGTCTGAAGACAAGACCCTCACTTTGATTGTGTCAATCATGAAGTATGGAGAAGAATGCAGAGGTACCTTCAAGCCAGGGACTGAGATTTGTGGCAGGACTGGGAGGAAGTGGGCAGAGGAACAATGAAAGGTACAATCTCCCTGGAGACCCAGGAGCTTGGACACCTGTGGCCACAGCTGTCCAGATGGCCTGAAAGCACACATGGTTCCCTGGATGGGCAGTATTCACGATCAGATTACAGGCTCATATCAAACACCAACCACTGGGTTCTGGAATTTTCTCTCAGGCTGTGTGGACTTCTTAGAGAAATGTTAGAGAGAAGAGGCACCAGGTGGTACCCAGAATGATATTCACAGGTGACACATCACTCCTCCGATCCTGGCTGCCTCTCGCTCAGTTGATACAGTGAACACTGCTAGATTGTGTTACCCGATAGGCTCTTGAACTCTCTTACTTCCTCCCTCCCATCCCCCAAAAAGTAATCTCGGATTAGCCCCAGTTTGAATCCTAATCCAGTTATCTTAAAGGTGCTTTGATGATTAATTATGGGGAGGGTGCTGATTGGAAGCCTTGTTCCCGTGCAGGTGAGTTTTCCCCGTGCCTCCCAGGTCCTCTCAGCCAGATGAGGTCTAGGCAGGCTGTCAACACACAGTGGCTGACACCACTTTCCATGAGGCGTCAGGGGCTGCAGGAGCCCAGCCAGGTGCATGATGAGCTCTGGCCTACGTGTGCATGTCGTGTTTGTCCTAGTAGCATGTCATTCCTCTTACTGCACCCCGTGAGGCCCTGGTTTGGAGAGGAGGACTGCCTGGCTCCTGGAGCTGCTGCTGAGCTCACCATCTCTCCAGCCCATGCGGTCAGTGTTAGACTGTGTTCTAACAGGCCGGTTCCCTTCTCCACTCTTTTTCTGTCTTTTCTTAAGTAAGCTGCAAACATGGATCCTCTGGCTTGGGCAGATACTGTTTCTTCCATGCCTTCCTTTCTGTGCTTTGAGTTGCCACATCACCTGTTGTCATTCAGCTTTCCCTTCTCTTCCACCATCATCAGCCTCATTTTTGGTATCTTCTGTCTAGTTCTTGTCCCTCTGTCCCACTCATCATCCAAGAAAGCAGCTAAGAAAGGATCTAGACGTTGCCACAGTGGCAAGAATGTGTGACAGTTCCAATTCCAACTGTGTAAAAATAAAGTGATAATTAAACAATATGATTGTATTTATTTATTTATACCTGGTTCCACAAGAGAGGGGAAGTTAGGAATAATATCATCTGCCTCCAGCAGATGTTTGCCAGTTGGGATTGATGCATGAACCCAGGCGTGTGCATACAAAGAGGTTTGCATCTATTAAGGCAATCCATACAAACGCAGTGGTGCTCTTCACTGTGTACAGTATGGTCTACATCCAACATTGCAAACACGAAGCCACCCACACTCTGTTTCCTGAGCCTATGATGGAGAATGCCAGCTGCTTACTCCACTCCTTACCTAGGGAAGGACGAAAGGTCACAAATCAATTAGTTAGCTGAAATGATTTATCAACTTACTGCAAGACTACAGACACACACACACACACAAACATGTATATCACGTGGGAAGCCACTATGAACACGTGTTTGATGCTTATGAGAAGGCATTGAGACCATTTAAGAACTCCAAACTTGTGCAATGTCAAATATGTAATAGACTATTGTTCTTAAAATTCTAGGAAAAATATATTCCACCGATGGCAATCTCTAAGAGTCATAAAAATTTTTTTCTTGTTATTTACACAACATTCAATTTCTTATTAACTCACCTGCGTCTTTGGCAGTGTATCCAACAAAATCCAGAATAGGAAGGGTTTTTTTTTTGCAGAAACATACAGATGAGTTGATTTTTCTCCCCAAGACATAATTTTGTATTAAAACAGCTGTAGGTAAAAACTTAGGCACATGGAAAAATACATAGGGAACGTCTAATACAAATGTAAAATATGAGACTATGTATTATTGCATATTAAGCTAGATCCTTCATCTTGCACACAAAACCCATTAATTATAGGTTGATTCATGTGCGATTCCCAGCGGCTGCCCAGGTTAATGGGCCGTGGACACATTCGGCAGAATCACAGGAATATCTCTTGAGTCTAATTAATTTCTTGAGGTTTATTGGGAGAGTGTTGTTATGACCAGGAAAAATATTTTTAACCTGTTCAAAACATTGCTTAAAACAATCCGGAATTTTTAGATGAACAAAAATAAAAGTTTCTACTTTAAACCAAAAATAAGAAAATTCCCACCAGCTCCCGTTCTGCCAGTGGTTTCCATTACAGAGGAGTCTTCTGGGCTGTGCAGGAGCTGCTGGTCTTCTCTCCTCCTCCGACTGTTTACACAGCAGCAGGTGAAGCTGTGGCTACTCTGTCACCTGTCTGAGCCAGGTGGTCTTCCCTGGGCACATGCCTCCCCCTCCTTCCCAGAGCACTCTGCACCGTCAACAGCTCTCTCCAGCGGGCTGCCCAGTGGCATTCGGTGTCTTCTGTCTAAAGTACGAGTTGAAAAGTGAAAGTGAAGTTTAGAAGCTGGCTTTTTCATTTCGGGTTTTCCCAAGTAGCCTTCCTTATTTTCTAGGAAGTGGTTCTGTTGGAGAAAAGCTGTGGAATGAACTTCTGGAACTGGTGTTCCATCACAAAAAATCACAGCATCTGCAAGCTTCGGCGGGCCTGGACACCTGCCTTGTTCAGTCTCTTTCTCTTGGAGTGTCACTCTATAAAAATTATAGCATTAGTCTAGGCCTGGGGTGAAGTTATCTTTGCCAGGTATTCTGTTTCGTCGGATGTTAAAATAACCGTGTCCTATTCTGCAATGCAGGGCACATCCTACCCCCAGTAGAATAATATATTTTAAGTAATTTCTGAAAATGGGCTGTGAGAGCTGTCTGCCACATGGGCCATGTTTGCACATCTCCATAGAGTTAACGATTGCGGAATTTGACAGTGTAACTCTGAATCTGATTAATTAAAAATGTGTAAAAACAAAGTTCTTGCATTATAGCTCGTTCCTTATCTTTGTGTCTTTTACTGTGATGTTGTAGAACTTGGATCATATGGAAAACTAAAATATTATGACACAATGACTGAAGAAGGTAAGAATGATTTTAGAATTGTATGCATTGGCTTTTTTCTTTTTTCATTTATAGTGTCTGTTGCTTGCCCATTTTTTTGAATTTTTTTCCTCTTTGCATGACTTCAGTGACATTGTGTGATTTTTTTTTATTCTTTTTGCATTTTTGTCTAGTTTTTGCCATTGTGTTTATTTGGAATTGGAGACGTGCAATACCACGGGTAATCATGTTATGCCATTCAAACAATCCAAACCATCTTAATTTTGTAACATACTCAGAGAAATGGTGTCAGTAATATAAACACAAGTAAACACCCACTGTGTCAGCATTATTCCTCCACATGCTCACCACAGCCACAGAAAAATCCATCCAACACTCTTCTAACGTGTCCTTCATTTCAGAAGGAGATGTAAGTTCTGGTGATTTTCTGATGCAAAGGCATGAGAGAACTGAAGTAATTCCTATTCCCAAACCAGCTAGAGTCCTGACTCTCGTGCAAAGGGCTGTAGGTTCATGGCCTCAGCCACAAAGTCCCCATTGAATCAGACAAGAGCATTATTACTCTGAGAGGCCAGGGCCACCATTCCAGCCATGGAATTTGTCTATATCGGGGTTCCCGCTCTATGAGGTTGAGCATGTCATTTTAACCATTTTCCCTGAGCAGAGATTTAGTTAAAATGTATTTATTAATGACTTCCAGGCACTATCCCAGAACACAGCCTTGTCCCAGGCAGAATCTCTTTTCTGATTTAGGTTTGCCATGGAACAGCAATTTGAAAATTTAGAATTCTTGTAAAGGGAGCTAGCCCATTGCCTTATCTCTTATTTCACCCCACACACACCTCCACCTTTTTGAATAAAATATGTTATTTGTAAGTTATAAAAAACATTTACACTGATACTGACAAGAAATCAAAAGAGGTCCCCTAGTAGGGGAATCAGCTAATTTATCTTTCAACATGAGAGAGAAACTCCCAAATGTGTTGCATATCTTGCTTTTAGCTTCCAGTATTTCTGAGTTGCCTTAGCTTGCCAAAGACCTCCTAGTTGCTTTGCATGCACGCAGTGGAACATCTAACAGCCCTGGGTAAGAGGAAACCCCTTCTCAGCCCCTCCCCACTTGGCTTCTGCACAACACCTGGGCCCTTCTCTATTGCCAGCCCTGTGCTTTAAATTAACCACTCTGATGTTTCCTGAGGCAGCAGGCCACTAGTATTATAGGATCTCAGGTTGGGCCTACCAACAACCCACAACCCTTGGCCATGAGAGGCCAAGAGTAGAAAGCTACACGTAGGAATAAGTGTCCTACCACCAAAAGGATAGAAACAGCAATCTGTACCTTCAAGGAAAGCTCGTGTCCCCACTATTATTTTATTCATGGCCTGGGCGGTGGGTTTGTTAGCTTCTGCCTGACCTGTCACGACCCTTCACTTTATCTCTTTTCTGCATCCTGTCCCTTGCCTCCACCTCCAACTTCCCACTGCTGGTGCGCCTCTGTCTCCCTGCCACCTCACTTGTCCCCGTTCTCCCTTCCTCTCTTGTTCCCCCCCCTTTTCACAGCTATGTGAGCAAATGCCGCCCAAGCACCCCCTTTCTTTCCTCCCTATACCAGACAATTCGAGATCACAAGATGCAAAATTCTACTTCCAATCTGATGATATCACTTGTTAACACCTGGGCTTTTGGAGCAGGAAAACAAAGTCAAAATAAGGTCTGGAATTGAGAACTATGGCCAGACTGTGTGTTTGTGACCCTCATGGGTCACCTCTGACATTCTTTATCCCTCTCTTGACTTTCCCATCCCCTCATACATATCCCTTTGTGTCCCATTCTTAGCTGAAAATTATCCCCATTACAGCAACAGCTAATAGTAGCTAAGGCAGCATTTTTAAAGGGTGTTCTATGAAATACTCGTTACATATGATGTCACTAGGAAATTTCCAACAACCAGGAGAAGAAAAAAAAAAAAAAACAAGATTGATTTCATAGGGAAATAAGTGGGAGGCCTTCTGAATTAAGGTAAATAGATTTCTTTACCACATGCTACCATGCACTGCAGCACATAGTAAGTTGTTAGCACACAGCGTCTCCCAGACCTTCTTATATGGAACCTCTTGTGGAAATGTTGGCTAAGGTTAAATTTTCATCTGGAATAGGAAGCTCTGAAAGATTAAAAAGTCTTCTAAACACATAGAGATGCCTCTCAGGTACTAAGCGAAAGGACATTTTTTGGAACAGAGCCTCCCCATCCAGACACCTCAAATCACATCCTGCAGCAGCTGCCTCCATTGTGACAAGTTAGATCTGGCTTAAACCTGATCCTGAGATTCCATCTAAAAGACTCAAAGCCACCTCAATATCCTCAGACCCGGTGGCAGTCATGCATGACCTCTTCAAATTCGCAAGGGCCTCTCCCCTCCCATTGGGAAATAATAATAATAACTGTGATTTATATCACTTCCATGTTGTACAATTTAACGAAGTGCAATAAAGACTAAGATGTTTGGGGCAATCACTGTGGGCTAGCTAGCCTTTGGGAAATACCCCCGTCCCTTTAAGCACTCTCACAATTTTAGAATTGTGACTAGCCCTTGAGCGGGGCTTTATTGTGACTTCCCATGTGGCAAGTCACTATTTATAACTGTTTCCAAAAAGAATTCTATGGATGTTGTGTGAGGTCAGCTACTTGCAATGAAGCCAGGGTTTTGTTTTTTCCCCCATACATAGATCAAATGGAAAGCTGCATTATATATGCCACCCCATATCCAAAGAGGAATTGAGTGATGATTTCTAAATATAGACAACTATCCTGCACATATTTAGTTCATTATTTTTAAGCACCTACTGTATGCAAGTTATTCTGCTAGGTGCTTTGGGGAAATCAGATTAAATGGTAGGCAGTTTGCCCCCGAGGAGCTTACAGAGCAGGGGGAGATAGAACACGCAGCAATCACTGAGGCACCAGGAAGAAAGTGGTAAGTACCGTAGGTGGTTCAGAGATGGTGGCCGACTATAGGGGAAGAGAAATTGCTTACAGTCAGGGGATGGGGAGTTGGAGGAGAAGGCAATCTTTGAACTGGGCTATAAAGAATCGGTAATTATGGGGTAAATCAGGGAAGGAAGTCGACAGGGACCAACCTACTAGGCTAAGAAAGGGATGAAAGGAAGGGTGCACACCAACATTTACTGGGTGCCTCCTCCCTGCTGGCTGCAGTGCCGTGGGCTTTGTGTACCCTACATGATCTAACCCTCAGCATGATCACACAAGGTGGATTTTATCGAAGATGAGAAAACCAAGGCTCAGAGAAGTATTTTATTAGATTAGGCAACTAAAAGAAGCAAAGTCATTCGCTCTGGGACTCAGAGGTGCTCTGCTGTGACACGGGCCCTGAACTCAGGACTGCGTCGCACCAGAGTCCCACCCTGTGCAAGGTGCATAGAGGAACGGGCAAGTTTGAATTGGATGCAGTGTAGGGAGTGGGAAGAAAGGCTGGATAGAGACCACTGACTAAGAACAAGGACATCATGGTGTCGGTGACAATGAGCTATTGAAGAAAACATTTACCCTACTTGAACACTTTCCCATAAAAAGTTTGTTTTAATAAAAACAATATACTTACTCTCAGACACTGGACAAAATCATGATGTTTGAAAAGATCATCCTCGTCCAGAGTCCTTTCCCTCCCTCCTTCCCTCCTTCCCTCTCTCAGGGGCCCTAGAACCTGCCCTAGAGCAGCTCCCTGAACCACACCCAACCTCCTCTGCCACCCCAAGCCAATCAAAATTTTATCCATTCATTCATTTATTATCCCATGCACTCATCAACATCCAGCAGGTACCAGGCGCTAGACTGGGCCCATGGATATTAAAGACAGTCCTCCTAAAGGACTGGTGACCTCGTGGGAGACACAGGCAGAGAGATACATGGTGAGATAGGCAGACCTTTTGTGCTGGGGGAGCCCAGCAGATGGCATCTGCTTCACCTTGGAAAATGAGGGCAGGCAGAATCCATAAATCTTACTAATAACTGAGCACCTGCTCTGTATGAGACATGTTGCTAGACCTGATAGATCAGTGAGCTTCACTCCTCCAGGGACTACATTTGCTTCTATAACAAAACAGTTCTGGGGACACAAGTGAATAACTAGAGGTGGTCTTTCAGTGACCTCACCCCCTCCCCATGCAAGGCTATCCCCTTACCTCTTCATGCAGTGATATTGCACATTCTTGGAAGAGCAATCTCCAACTCCTACTTAAAGTTAATAACCCATAGTTTATTTCTCATCTGCAGATACCCAAATTTCATACCATTCTCACTCTGGAAAATTCTCAATAAAGTGAATTTGGCTTCCTTCCTAAAATTACTCTAAATGAAAATATCGAAAGTTGATTCAAAAGACAATAAATTTGTGTGATGGAACAAATGAATTAAAAGGAGAAGAGGCCTTTCCACCAATGGCAGTATATAGAACTAGTAATTTTTGCTCTTTGGAGATAAACATTTCAAAGAGACATGTCAGTAGGTAGGCAGGTAGACAGACATTCCTGAATAACATCTTGCAAAGACGTGTTGTATGGTGAGAGCTACCCACATCATGTTGTCCTAAACTCACTGCCACTTAACTAAAGCCATTTCCAAAAAAATTCACCATCATTGAAAAGGTCAATCTTTGTTCATTTGTATAAGGAAAAAGGTAGAAAAGGTTGTGATATCAAGGGCAAAAATTACAAAGACATTTTTCCTTAATTAAATTAAGCCTACTGTTTCATGGCAACCAACAGCCTCTTTAGCAAGCTGAAAAACTAATAATGTCTTACATGAATCATGGGATTTTAAATTAGTTATGTGGCTCAGTTTTGAAAACCCACATTATTTCAAAGAAACAAAAGCATCTTAAGGTCACATAGTCTAGCCAGTCATTTGATGTTCTTAGTTGCAGTGAAATAGTCCAGTTCTTTTTCAAAGAGAAATTGAATTTTGGAATTCCACTCAGCAGTGATTTATCCACTAAGATGTACTC